TTTAGGAAATGACCAGAAGAAATTTCGTAGCTAAACGTAATAGAAGTTTTGAATTCTTGTCTGCGTGTTGCTTAAATGACGTAATTAAACATTGCCTGAAAAATTCCTTTTTCGTTACACAGGACATAGCACGTAACAAAACTGCCAACAACTTCATAATCTTTGACACATAACTCTTCCTTCTTTACTGAAGCTATTATAAACCACAAAAAAGAAGAGTTCGAATAATCGCTTCGACAACTTCGGCCACCACCGGTCACATCTGACACAATAATCTGACACAACCGCCATTGTCTCTGGCGCATGCGTATAAGCCTTCTCTTTCCAAATCTGTTTCGGCAGGAGGCCGGTTTGTTGCTCACATTATCGTCTTTGTTTCGCATAGAATTTTGGCTGTCTTTCCCCCTAGAAAAAGGACCAATTTAATCTCTTAAGAGTAGTACAAGTAGGTGAATAGTGAAATTGGCAGTTGATCAGTTTTCCCCAAAAATGTAGCTAAATTTTCCGGTGGGGAGAAGCGACTACCCAAAACGAAACAAAACGTTACTTTGTGTGTCTAGTGTAAGTGACCCTGTCTGGATTGGTCAGAATGTCCAAAATGAGGTTTCTGTGGAAAGATCTATATCTTTGCTAAACTTGCTGCGTACAAAGTCGTCCGTCAAAGGGTTGATTTAAGGCAAGGAAAAGAACTCGTTGTAAACAAACATGGCGCGGATTTTTTTAGCAAATAGTATTTAGATTTGCATGTTTCAACTTATGTTCGAGTTGCTCCTCTTTAAAAGGTCATGCTCGTGCCGGTTTCCCTTGCCCTGCGTTCGTTCAAGACTTGTCATTATATAACCACATCCAAGTAATTAGCTAAGAGTGGGCCAAAAAGTAAACATTCATAACGATAAACTACTTATCCATAGATTACGTTGTCGTGATTTTGACATTTTTCGTTAAGTAGATTTTGGCCAAGATTAATGAGATCATAGTTATTAGAGGAGACTGGTTATGAAAAGCGGCAAACATCAATGATAAAAACAACAGTGCTGCGGTTTATGTTGGAAGCACCCTGAAAGTGCACAATTCTTTGTTTTCTGTTGGCAAATTGTTACGGAATAAATTAATGCAACGTTTTTATTGGTCAATACAATCAAAATGATAGGAATTCTTTTGAACGTTGTGCACTTTCAGGTCCACAAAAACATATAACAAAGGAGTCTGATGGGGTTTCATAACCATTCCACTCAATTAACTATGATGAGATTAAAAGACCCATTTGCCCATTAGTGTTAAACAGATTTTCACCGTGAAAAATGTCGTGTTAATCACTTGCGCTTTGATCCTACAGATTCATACACTTGTCTTCACTTGTAAATCAATAAAGGATATTTTTCTCCAAAAGAGTACTAGAAGAATTGAAGGAAAACCCTTGTTATAGCATGTATGTCCGGAATCTACGTAATGCCTTTAATCTACTTCCTGTCGGGTGTACAAGGTAAAAAAAAAACATGACCGCTCGTGACCGACAAAAAATAGAATTTGTAAAAATTATGATTTGATGTAATGCTACACCATTTAAGATGTTAGAAAAAGTGGAAGCGCATTGGTTCGTTTACCATGGTCCAACAAAAGTATTCACTGTCGGTTTAGCCTCACTCCATAATCTACGCGTCTTTTTCAATATAAAGTTTTCATTTTCTTTTCTGCTGGGCACAATGAAGGTATTCAAAGGGTCGCATACATCTTTCACCTAGACCCTGCGCAGTACTTTCATGGCGTCCCTACCTCACTAAAGTTTAATAGTGTTCATGAGTGTTTAAATTTACCTTTTTCGACGACTCTCTAACGGAGGTTTTTGTTTACACAATACAAAGGAAGGTTGGGACTACTAAGTTAAAAACTGTTGAAACAGTGTTCACAAGCAGACCACTTACAGAACCTAGTAGCCACGCGTGCATTCGAGGGCGCGAGAAAAGAGAGGCTGTCGCCCTCATGAGTCCATGCATCGTGAGCCTATGGCTTACGCTTGCACTCCAATACCTTCAAAGAAAACTCAGAGAATGCTTGCAGTCTAAATAAGTTTCACCACCGAAGATCGCAAGAAGCGTGGCTTCGAAGAAGGGATCAGTTGTGGTAAGACCTAGTAAGAACAAGCAAATGTAAAACAGACGATAGACGTTTTTCGAAGTTATTCAGTACTAGCTGCGTCTCGTGTTTTAAACTTAAATAAAACACTCCTGTTCGTTTATTCAACATTGATTGATCTAAATGAGGGGGAATTTTTTCAGAAATACTCATTGATCTTGAAGTTGAGCGTTGAGGGAGTCTGGGTCAGTGATGTGCCGAATTGTATTATGGGACTGTTATCTCTTTTTTTTTTTTCGCCGTCGAACAGGAAACTGGGTAAAAAGTCCTCCTCCAAAAAACGGTCCCATATAGTGATAGTGCAGTAGACCTCATTCACGATGGCCGCCATCTTTGCACATCTTGACCTAGTCCCTCTGGACCAGGT